TTTAATTGACCATGACGTTCCCAAACATTGATTCTATGACTCAAGTGGTGGCTTAATTGTAACCTGAATCTCATAAGTGCTAGCAGCACTATTTATTTTCCCTGAACTCAAGTACTAATTTAAACTTACCTGTTTAACCTTAATTTTATACATTTGTGAAGTTAAAATTTCTTTAATACACAATTCGTGTATGTAAATTTGATAACAGAACCAATCCATTTGAGTGTATATAGTTTAAAACCTTTATTTTATGCACATTTGGTGTACATCAACCAGCTTTAACCCTGTGCCTAACCTAATTTAAAGCCGGTTTAGTTTGTTATTTACCCATTTATAAAAGTAAATTTATAGAAAATTTATTGAGTTAAATTGATTTAAAATTATTGAAATTGAATTATACCGTATAACTTTTGATTCGTTCCTAAAATTTATTATGCTTTTAACATTGCAGTTTCCCTTTGAAATGCAACTAAATGAAATTACTACAGTTTGAAGTTAGAAACTCACCAAATTTTATGTAGATACTGTATTTAAATTGTAACCCCGATGCTAATAACAGTCGCCAGGAAATAATTCGACAGTGTAAGTGTAGCGTACCCATAAATGACACGCTATTGATAGCCATGAAATAAGTGCTATATTAGAAATTGATGTCATAAATTATTAATGTTAAAATCCCAAGCATGCAGTTGAACAAGTGAGTGTTTATTAAAAGTAAATAGTGAGTTATTAGTTGGGACATATTATTGAATATCGAGCTAGCTGAAAGTAATAAAGTTTACTAACCAAAGTTAAATTCAAACAGCTGAGAAAGTGATAGAGATAGAATCCATGCTGTCGGGGCCCATGCGTCCGTATTGAGATACTGCTAAATCAACTCCAGTTAATAACATGCAATAACATCTAGAAACCATGCGGGTTAATTAATAAAAGCAGTGCATTACATGTAGCAATTGAGAGGCAGAATTTGCCGCAAAATGAGATACAAAAGTTTTAACTTTATCGAATTCTGCTTAGAGCACTCCCAATTTATCTGCCTTTTGATACGCGCCATGGCTTGAACTCTCGCATCGATCAAATTAGTCAATTGCGAAATTTAAATAGTATACTGTACTTTGCCCTGCCCTGCATGTCTTCACTCAGGTAACTCTCCAATGCTTCAACCCCGCACTCTAGGAAAATCAATATGCACTTTTGTGATTGCTTGCCGATGTTCTAACTCCAGCATCGATTGGTCCCGGGATAGTTCTAGTATAATTGACCAAGTCATCAATGACGAATTAAAAAGAACTTTGTCTGCGTCTTCATCAACTATCCTGAATAAAATTTGCAGCACTGAGTCTTTCACAAATTTAAAACCCGGAAAAAACAAATTTCAAAGTGACCTCCGTCCAACAGGCAACACACTAGGAAAGAACTAGAAATTGGAAAATTTTTGTTTTGTTTATGTGTGTGAGTGTGAAAGTGTGGGTGGGGGGTTGTGTGAGTTCGGTGAACCTGAATTTGATGAAAATTGGGGTGATGCTCATACATCTTTTGTGCAAAAACTCAGGCGCATTCATGGTTGGACTTAAGTTTTAGGCCGCAGTTTTCTATCATGAGTGGTTATCTCAAAACTTCAACCTAACAGCAAAAAAATTTCCCTATAAGGACCAAGTTACAATGCTGAAGCATGTCAGCCGTAATCAGATAAAACTATAATTCAAATACATTGATCTTTTTCAAAACGAACCATAAAAAATTAATGTAGGAGTTTTTTTCTTTAAAAAATTGGTTGATCAATTAAGTTCTGGCTCTTTTCCTCTTCACCGACCTTTAATTTTTTAAATGAAACTTTCATCATCTTCACAAGGCATTGAGCCACTTCTGCTTATAGCACTCACGATTTATAAGCTTCCGGGATGTCCTGAATTGAATTAAGTAACATCAAATTCGTTTGCAGATAATGAGAAGCTAGGAGTTGAGGGAAAGTGTTGATCTATCTCCGATGGATATGATGATTTTTATCTGCTGAACAAAAACAATTGTAATATAATAATTAAGTAGTAGCCCTGTTTTTAGGAGTGACCTCGTGTTTTGGGGATACTGAGACCCAGCCATGAGCTCACTATTTTCGCATGTAACTAAGTTAATTTGCGCAGTTTGGCTGATAGCCTTAAATAGTAATGACCATGTCGACCCAATGTTAGTGGACCTCACATTGAACTGGCTTTGGTAGAGACTGTTAAAAGCTTGTGAAGCTAATTTTAGACACTAGCCAGTCGTTTCATAACCTATCTTTTTCCCGTCGGTATGTACTTCCGGGCGAATGTTACATGTTTCAAAAATTACAGTTTCCCCAAAAATCAAGGTCAAAGTTCCGAATAAGACCGACTGGCGCAAATTTTTCTTTGTTGGAGAGAATTAGGTCAAGCGTTCTGGATTTACACGTTTTGAAAGTAACTCATTGTCTAAATTGGATCTTTATAAGCATCGAAACAAATATTTTCTCATAGGGATGCAGGCTGTTGTAAGTCTCCCAATCCGTTTTTGGAAGATTAAAATCGCATTTGAGGATAATGTGATGATTACGAAATGTTTTAAAAAAATCCAAGAGATTTTGTATGTCATTGATGGAAATTTGAAATGGACTGCTGTCGGGGGGATTGTATATTACTACAAATAGCAATTTTTTTGTCCGCTTCTACTTCGACTAAAGACTCAGACAGGGTTTCAGTTGATATTCCAGTGTGTGGTATATTTCTTTTTATCCCAATTAAAATGCCATTATATTTAGATACACAATTTTTACCAATCAATCTTTCAGCGCGACAAAAATGAAAGTTGTCCAGGAATAATTCCCCATTAGAGACATATGGGATTAACCAAGTTTTACTTAAAAGCAAAATACCATAACCTGGACGGGTAGAAGAAATCAGACAACGTTTTCTTTTTTCTTTCTTTCTGAACATTAAATTTCATTAAAAAAGAAAGTACATTAAACTAAGCACTTGGTTTGAATAAATCAAAAATGGTAAATTACCAAAAGACTATAAAATTCGATTTCAAATGGCAGGGAATGTTAAAAAGTCTGGAATGATCATGATGTCTGGCGTTGAATCATGATGTGGCCGCGGAATTGAGGTAAGAATGAGTTCGAGAATGGAGTCATTAGTGACAATGGGGTTGTTCAGAGGTCTGGGACGGTTGCTTCTATGTCACGCTCTATCGACTCTCTCACAATGGCTGCATTGCCAATCTCGACGGCTAACGACAGCCGCTGTCTGAGGAAAGTCCCGGCTCCTTTTTCATCGGTTTCCGCTGGAAATTGTAGTTTCTGGCCAGGCTCTCTCTCCTACTTCAATCGCTTTGCTTCTTCTGCTTCTTTCTATTAAGTAAGCTTTGGGCGTTCAATAACAAAACTTCACATGTCAGTTTTAGTCAGTTTTCATTGCTCTTTCCACCATCGGAAAAAATATAATCGCCATTATAAACGCCATTATAAACTTGTTGAATAGTGTGTTTTATATAATGATGTCTCAAATCTTGTGTGGAAGGCCTTCAATGGGAGGGTTTTAGAAACAAGATTTCATGACTGGATACTCGAGGTTTCGTATGTTGTTGTTGTTGTTGTGGATTCTCAGAAATACTTCTGAAGGGACTGCTCCCAGTTCGTTTCTTCTTAAAACGTCTTCCATACATCCCTGCAGTTTCGACAATCACAAAACAGTATCCATGTGCAAGGATTCGCCTCATTGAATTTCGCCATTTGATAGGTCCACATAAAATTCAAGAGTCTGTTTTTTAGCCCCGTGGGATTGAAGAAATCTACTGTTCCAGGTAGATGATTGGCCACCCGAGACAGCCTGAAACAAAACTCAGCGCGAGCTTTTTCTGTGCGGACTTTTTTAAGGCTTAATGTCGGGCCGTCATTTTGTCTTGTATTTGAGGCAGACTTGTTGGTTAATAGTCGTATTTGTAAATCGTTTTCACTGTGAAAAAAGCTCGATAGATTCAATAGATTGCATAGCTGTATGAACATAGTAAGGGGCAATGTATTCGTTCGTTTCAACAACGTTAGATAATCACTCTCATAACAGTTTGTTACCCATTTTAGCGCTCTTTTCTGGAATCGTTCAAGTTTTGATAAATTTGCGCGGCATATATTAAAACACGAAGATGCAAATGTTATAAGTGGTAAAACCGCTGACTTGTAAACACCCAATTTTACTTTCTGTGAAACCCCTTTTGCCACATTTCTTTTAGCAAAATAGAAAATCTGATTTTTGGAAAGTGCATCTATGTGGACAAAACGTAGAGAAAAAAAACGTAGAGAAGACAAATACCCAAAATCAATCATCCAAAAAAGAACGAAAATATGCTTCGCGCTTTTGAGGAGTGCTTATCGAGTGCATTTCTTCTTCTCTCTTTTAATTATTGATATTCAGTTTGTAGATGTATTTATGTAATGTATTAAGGAACTTATTCCCAAAACAAGAAGACGAGAACAAAAATTTCAAAGTGATTGAACATGAAAAGGATGAACTTTGTAATACTTTTGATCAAATCGATGAAAATTATCAAACAGTAGACTGCAAAAGAATTGGTATCATAAAGAAAGAAAATGAAGCTCGCGTCGGATCAATAATTGTTACTCCATCCAGCGCTTGAATGTTCAGAAAATCATGAACAAAGCTCCATTATTGAAAAAACTACAGAAATAAAGTCTACATTTCGAAATGCTTGAGTCCAGCAGACAGGAAGATAGAATAAAAATTGTTAAAGAAAAGATGGGAATGAATAAACTTTGACAATATTGATTGAAAATGCATAAAGCAGAGGGTGTTGCGGTGCCGTTAGTCCCAGACGGCTTGCCACGAGAAGATACCATGGTGCACATTGCGTATACTAAGACGTGCATTAACGAAAAGTCTGTTTTTTTGTAATTTAGTTTTTGATATATGTTTTATATTAGTGTAATTATTCGCTGCAAGTCAAAATATAGAGAAAGGTAATTTTTTTAGATCCACATGATGACGGTGGGTACGAGTGTCCCAGCAGAGGGTGTTGCGGTGCCGTTAGTCCCAGACGGCTTGCCACGAGAAGATACCATGGTGCACATTGCGGACTCATTGGAGGCATTGTCAACGTTGTCAAACTTGGTTTTTGAAACAATCAACTTAAGGGTTACGTAAGTATTTTTCATGCAAGTATCCAGAAACTAGCAGAAAAACTAAGCAATAATAAATAAATTTTAAAACCCAAAATAAGCTTTGCACTCCTGAGGAGTGAAACTATATGCATCCGGGGGTTGTAAGAAACTGAAAAACACAAATAGCGTAGAAAGGTTTATGATTGCAATAATCGATGAGGGTAGATATTAATTGAAAGGGTCTCAAGATACTATTAAAACTGACTGGTAATATTTATACTTGCTTTTAAATTGGTTGCTGATGCAGTTACATACCGTTATACTTCGCACAGTATTTACAATTTATTTTAAAAGCCAATTTTTTTTGGCAAAAAGTGTAAAGTTTGAATTTTTTAATAGCATTTATCTGGCAGAGTAATGTATATGCAAAAACAATCTTAGCAGCATGAACAATTGATTGAAAATGAAATGACTATATTATGCATCACAGTTCTCAAATTTAATACATGCACTGTAGTTAAAATTACCGTCTATTGTAACATATCACCCAAATATCATCTAGGAGAGTCATCGACTCGGGGCTCTCGCTGTGATGTTGCTTCTTTTTTTTAGTGGACTAAACTCGCAACTCGATGATCTAAGCAGCAAGATAAGCGGAGTTCAGACAAAGATTAACGTAGTGCGTGGAAACTCTCAAGCAACGAAAGTACTGGCACCAGCACACTTTCCTGTTATAGATTTGAACAAAAATGATATCACAGAAATTCCATTAAAAGCCAGAAGACGAAATATCAACCGACGAAGTCGCCAAGTAGTCATGAAACCGTTCGAAGAGGCAAGTCTTGAAAAGTAGGTCAAAGCAGTTGTATATATTGACAGAAAATTAGCACCCCTTTTCTCATTTTACATTTTTTTATCCAACGAAAAAGTGAAAAGCTCTTTAATACCTTCTTCAACCTCAGATAATTTGTTGGAGTATAAATAAATCTGTCCGGCTTAGCTGGCAGAAAAACTGGGTTATAAAAAAATTGAACATATGTTATATGACTTGCTGCCTGATAATCTATCATCATATATTTAAATGCTTGCTTGACTATATCGCCATGCTTAAGCTTTTTCAACGTACTATTTTTGCATTTTTAACGAAAGAATTTTTTGCACGCTTAAGCTATATCGTATTTTGCAATAGTAAAGATTTTATTTTTCGTTTTTCCATTTTAAGTTCAGCGTTTATTTCACCGAGTTTAAAATCAGCAACTCAGGAGTTGGATGCTGTCAGAGCTGTCAATTATGAATGCCAAAATCTTCTCAGTTTACGAGATACGACGATTTTTTGTGATTTTTCAGAAAGTTTTCAGAAGTTGAAAAGTAATTCACAAAATTTGAAGTTCCCAGCTCTGTAGTGGGGTGCTGTCAGCATTCTTGCCTCCACATATGACTGCTCAAATCCTTGTAGTTTTCGAAATATGACGTTTCTTATGTTATTTTTTTTAAATGCCTAAAGAACTTAGACATAAAAAAATTTCACAAAATTTGAAGTTCTGATCTCTATTAAGAGGATCTGTAAGGGTACTACCAGGCGTTGCAATTTTTTTGCCTCCAAATTTGACTGCTCTAATATGTGTAGTTATCGAGATATGATGTGTTTTATGATTTCTTTTCGTATTTTTTCGGAAAACTTATATTTTATAAAATTCTCACGATTTGAAATTACCATCCTTGTAGTTAGGTTCTGTCAGGGTACGCTCAGGAGTTCTAAGTTGCAAATTTTGCGTTCAAATACGACTGCTTAAATGCTTTTAGTTTCCAAAATGTGACGTTTGTAGGTCATTTTTTGACCGTCACGTTTCCTTTTAGTTTCCGAGATGTGACGTTTCTTATGTCACTTTTTTTAAATGCTCAAAGAACTTCGATGTAAAAAATTTCACAAAATTTGAAATATCTATAGTGAGGATCTGTAAGGGTACTACTAGGCGTTGCAATTTTTGCCTCCAAATTTGACTACTCTAATCTGTGTAGTTATCGAGATATGACGTGTTTTATGATTCTTTTTGGAAAACTTATATTTAAAAAAAAAATTCAAGATTTGAAATTACCATCCTTTGTAGTTAAATTCTGTGAGGGTACACTCGGGAGTTCTAAGTTGCAATTTTTGCCTCCAAATGCGACTGCTCAAATGCTCTTGGTTTCCAAGATGTGGCGTTTGGTAGGTCTTTTTTTTAAATGTTCAAAGATCTTAGATATAAAAAATTTCTTACAATTTGAAGTTGTCATCTCTACAGTGGGGCTCTGTAAGGGTACTACCAGGGGTTCCAATTTTTGCCTTCAAATGTGATTGCTCAAATCTTTGTGGCTTTCGATATTTGACATTTTTTGTGATTTTTTCAAAAAATTTTCGGAAAACTTATATTTGAAATTATTTTTCAAAATTTGAATTTCGTAACCCTTGGGGGCTGTTATAGTACTCTCAGTGATCGCAAATCTCCTCTCCAAGTAATACTGCTCAAATCTTTGTAGTATTTGAGAAATGACGTTTTTAGAAAACTAAGTTTGGAGTTTCTCAAAGTTTGAATATTCCAACGATGTAGTTGGGTACTGTGAGATAACGCTCAAGAGCTGCAAATCTTGCGTCCAAATGCGACTGCTCAATTGCTTTTAGTTTCCGAGATGTGACATTTTTGATGTAATTTTGAAATTTTGTAAAGGACTAGATATAAAAGACTTCACGAACTTGAATATAAAAAACATTACAAAATTTGATTTTTGTACCCTATAATTGGGTGCTGTAAGATTACACTCAAAGGATGCAGATCTTTTTACAATGTATGCGGTTTTAGTGATATGTCAAAAATTAGAAGTACCGGAGGTGCGGTACGCGCTAGTTTTTATTAATCATGATTTTTATTCATTTTGTCCCTTAGAATGATTCAGCAGAAATCACAATTCTTCACGATTCCGTCTCTACCGCGGGATAAAACAGCAGTTAGCACAATTTGCGACGAGCCTGAGTTCTGGGAGGAGGGGCTTGGGGAAGCACCACATAACATCAAAAGTGTTACATCTCTTTTGACCTTCCACACTAATAAAAACCCGTAAGTTATGAGTCCTAATTTGCTTAGTTTTTGTTTTTAACTCCTAACGAGGAACAGACGCGCACCCTCATAAAGTGCACCAAATATTAAGTTAGTACAGGCACAAAAGATCTCTGTTTTCGAACTGAACCAGTCCCGTCGGAAAATATTTAGGGCGTTATTAAGAGTAAACGTATTGAAGGCTCTTATATAGGTCTTCGTGATTTTTTGTGTTTTTTTTTCTGGTAAAAGTCTTAAAATGCTCTAATAACTACAGATGTGCATTCATAAGTATTAATGCATTTATGAATGCGCCTAAACGTATATGCACTTTTTTTTAGCTCATTTGAAGTTCATCTGCTGAAAGTTACGTACATGCGTGTGGCTATATTCCTCGCGAAGTTCAGCATTATTGAGTAAAGTTCAGCTATAAACACTCGATAAAAACGCGTTTTTTGCTGCCGGGTTCTTTGTCAAACTTACGTGAACGTGAATAGATATGCGAACATAATATAGTGGTCAAGCGTATATCCATTTTTTTTATTCAGGAAAAAGTCTTAAAATGCGCTTATAACTACGGATGTGCATTCATACATATTAATGCATTATGCTTAGGTATAAATGCACTTTTTGAGTTCAATTTAAATTTATCACCTGAAAGTTACGTAAATAGCACTCTCCAAATACGAACGTGAAAATGGAGCGGAAATTAATTACTAGATTTCCAGCGGAACAAAGACTTTATCTATTGATCTAGTTTTCTTAAGTTGGGTTATCAAAAAAGTGCCAATCGTAAATTGTTCTAGAAATTCAAAGAGCTTAAAGGGCATCTATTTTTTTCTTTGATATTCGAAAGTTAATGTTTTTTTCAACGAAGCCAGTTTTTTTTTTCTGTTTACTTCCGTTCATTACTCGTCTCTAACTGTCTGTTGGCTATGCTGTTATTATGCTTGCGATAGGGAATGTTTTACGATCGGCTGATATGCTTCTTTACTGTATAAAATATTTCCTTTTTGTACATAGAAACGGTTATGTAAAAAGCGACCGTTTTAGTGTGGACGTAATTAGACCCTTTATATGGCGTGATAGTTTTTTTTCAGGAAAATTCTTAAAGTTTTTTCAGATTCAGGTGTACTTTTTTGCGGTTCTACTTTTGATTTTTTAATGTTCAGCGTAATACTTTTGTTAAAAGTAAGGCAAACTCCACTATCGAACAGCAAAAGATTAAAATTTGCAAAAAAAAGAACAATTTCTAGCTTCGAGTGGATTTTAATTTTCATATTTCCCTGCAAAATGAAGAATTTACTTATCGATCCAGTTTTTTCAAATTTGGTTAATATATGAAATTTTTTAGATTTATTAGTTTTTGTAAAACCATCTATTATTTCTTTGAAATTCGAAAGTTGAAGTTTTTTTAACAAACACTTTTATTGTTTGCTTCTTTGTCTGTTAGCTATGTTCGCACAAGCAAGCTTTAGCGAGCGAACTGTAATAGTTCGGCTATTCTGTTTTTTTCCAATCTAAATCGCAAATATTTTTTCGACGCAAATATTGTTGCGGCAAATTGAGTTCATTTTGAACGCGTTCATTTTTTATCAATAACTAGCTATTAAGTACAGCCAATGCTAAGAATTTTAACATAGACTATTATCTTACAAATAGCACTTTAGCTTCAATGTATCATGGATCTGTAGCGTAGAGGTAGGGAAGGGCACCAGCAACAAAATAAGAGGGTTCGAACGTGAGCAGGGTCGGATGTTTTTAAACGAACTTTTTCGTATAAGTTAAGTGCGTCCGCTCTATTAATTGAGGCATGGTAATTGGTAAAAAAAATTTTCAAATTGACTGGTATTGCTAATGCGTCATAATTGGCGTGCGTCACTTAAGAAATTTTGTAGACTCCAAGTTTTACTCATTCGGTTTTTCCCAGTAGCGTTATTGGTCATACTTTTGCTTGCGTATGCGAAGTGCAACTTCGTCTCTGAAAATAATCAATGGCCTGAGCTCGAAATTGAAAAGTTTACCTGTGAACTTTTTCTGGGGTAGGTTAATGTATGTTATGGGCTCAAGCCGGTGGGCTAGGAATTTCTCCTTTTGCTGAGATTGACTTTCTCTGTTGATTATCTCCGGAGATCAGTGCGTTATTAAGAGTAATGGACATAGTGAGGACTCTTATATAGGTCTTGCTGATTTTTTTTGTTTTTTTTTTGCTTTTTCAGGAAAAAGGCTTAAAATTTGTTCACGCTCAGTTTTGATTTTTCGCGGCTTGATTGTAATTTCTTTTTGAGTTCAATGCATTTCCATTCTTAACATGAAGGCAAACTCCACTATCGAACAGCGAAAGTGTAAAGGTCACGAAAAACGTGATCGACTTCTGTTTTCGAAAATGAAAATTAATTATCAGATTTCCCAGCGAAATAAAAGTTAAACGTATTAATCCAGTTTTCTCAAATTGGGATAAGTAAAGTGTCCATCATAAATTGTCCTACAACTTCAAAGAGCTTTAAGACCATCTATTTTTTCTTCGATTTTCAAAAGTTGATTTCTCTTGAAAAAAGAAGCCAGTTTTTTTCAGTTTCCTTACGTTCATTACTCTCTTCCAACTGTTAGTTGGCTGTTTATATGTTTTAAAATGTCTCCAAAGGTGTTAAGGGTTCTTTTCTTCTTTTTCGTAGCCTGTTGAACAGGGCACTCGCTCGGACAAAGAAATTCTCTCCACTCTTTGATAGTTGCAGTTTCTAGTGTACAAATTCGATGTGAACGACAAATAGGAGAAATTTTTTTATTGAGCTGTGAGGCCTTGCTTTTGTTCTCATCACAGGACTGGAGAGTGCGTCACCAATTTTAATTCTCTTTTTTGACAACTGTGATATCAAAAGCTGGATTTTCAGTCCTCTGCTCTTTAGCTTAGTTAATTTCGATAACAGGATACCGCGATCAACGTTCCTTGTCAAAAGCTTTTTTCATAGTCTATTTTTAAATGTATCCAATGAATTGAGCAGTTGTGGCGCATGACTGGCCCTTGTCAAAGCACTTAGTGTGAATCGTGGAAGATTGTTTGCAGATGTCTCTACAAATAAATAGAAAGGGATCGTTCCAAGGTTTTTGTTATCGTTAAAAGTATGGATACCTGCTGGTAATTTTTATCAGATTTTGAGTTTTTCTTGGACTCATAAGCGATTTTTTCCAGCAGATGGAATATACTCCAGTTTGTTTTACCTTGCAAAGTACTTGACTTGCAGGCTTACATTTGCTCACCGCTCATCTTCTACAGGGCTGAAGAAAGAAAGTTGCCTGAATAGTTTGTGATTTTTAACGATATAATTTCTTCGGAATGTTTGGAGGCACTATGTTTTAGCCATATATACTCTAGCTCAGTCAGAACATTGAAATCATTCCAGCATATTGCACAAAAATGTAAATTTTCGATGTCCCTTAAGATGCTTTTCTAGTCCGCCTTATGGTTGTTGAAGAAACGCCTCTTTTTGTAAAAAAAATAATTGGTAGTTTTGATGTAATTACATTGGCCTTATGTTTTACCAGCTTTCTTGCAAAAGGATTTTGGTTCGTTTTTCTGATGGAGTCTATGAACGTAGTTTAGCTTCTTCTATATATCGCGATGATTTTTTTTCGTTATTTGCTCAGGAAATATTTTTACAGGCTCAAATTTTCGGTTTCTTGGTTTGACTTTTTTAGTTCAACTACATTTTTGTTAAAAGGAAGGCGAACTCCGCTATGGAACAGCGAAAGTGTAAATGTCTCGAAAAACGTGATCGACTTCTACGTTCGAAAGTCGATTTTATTTTTCGGGTTTCCCAGCGAAAAAAAGTTTTACGAGTTAAGTGAATTTGTGTCACCACTGTCAAAAAAAGCGTCAATCATAAGTTGTTCTAAAACTTTGAACAGCTTCAAAGCATCTGTTTGTTTTGAAACTTGAGACTTTTAAAAAGCAGGCTAGTATTTTAATCTGTTTATTTGCAGTTGTTGAATTTTTTCAAAAGTCTGTTGACTGTTTGCTGCATAGTATTGGCAATTTATCAGTGGCTATTGTTTGTAATCTTCATGAGTCAGTGGCACAGACGTAAAGGTCAGTCGACTTAGATGCTCGAGGCCTGTAGATCGTTTTCCATATAGAGGTTTTTCTTGGAAGCTTATTAATGTTTTTTTTTACTCTTGCGATCAGCAAGCGTTTTTTAAGCGGTATATAAGACTTTATTCGATTTTTTAACTTGCTTAACACAGGCTCTTGGTTCATATGAATTCAAATTTCTAAGCTTCTGGAGGTAACGATAACGCCTTGGACGGTTAAGGTCCTGGAATTTTTCGTTTCAAAAAAAACTTCCGCTTGTTGTTTGTCTGCTCACGTCTTGTTTGCTTAGTTGCAACACCTTAGATTTTTTTGCTGTGGGCAATTTCCTGTTAGTTACTTTTTTTATGTTTTCATTTACTCTGGCATTTTGTAATTCTATTTACTTCGACCTCATATATTTTCCTCTTTTGTATAGGTTTAAAAAAGTTTCGGCTGAAATGATTTTGGCTCAGTTTTTTTCGGCCAATGGTTCTGGACGTGTTTTCCGCAAATAAAACATCATTCCTGACTAGTTTTTTTGTTTGATTTCTTCGAAAATGTTCCTGTTTTCTTTGGACTTAAGGCCTTTTCTCACCTCTCTGCCAGCTTGCAATGCTATTTTTGTGGTATCGCAAGTGATGCGAAGCTCCGCATTCTCTTTTTCTTCTAAAGCTACTTCTGGGTCTTTTGTCATTTTTTTGAGAAGTTTCGTTTATAGGAAAGACTGAAAACTTGTTTGCGTTTATTTATAAGACTTGATAAAGGAAGTGAAAGGAACATTTTTTTCAATTATTACCCTTCTGATTGTCTATGCTCACTCTATAGTAATATGCCGAATGTAAGAAAAATTAAGCTATGCGAAGCTCGGTTTCGTGAGTTGATTTGCTGGAAAAAATTATGTCAGTTCTATCGAAGCGAAGCCAACACGAAACCGCATCCTTTATTCGAATTG